CCTCAGCCGGTTGGGGCTTCAGGTCAACTGGGACAAGAGCAAACTTTGCCCCGTGCAGAGGATCTCTTATCTCGGTATGGAGATGGACTCGGTTGCCCAGACGGCGCGCCTTACGGAGGAACGCGTCCAGTCAGTGCTCACCTGCCTCAGCTCCTTTCGAGGCAGGACAGCAGTTCCACTGAAACTATTTCAGAGGCTCCTGGGGCATATGGCAGCTGCAGTAACACCGCTCGGCCTGTTACATATGAGGCTGCTGCAGCACTGGCTTCACGATTGAGTCCCGAGGTGGGCGTGGCAGAGCAGCACGTTCAGGGTCAAAGTAACCCCGCACTGTCGCCAAACCTTCTCCCCATGGTCGGATCCTGCGTTTCTTCGGGCTAGAGTGCCCTTAGTCCAGGTTTCCAGGCATGCTGTGGTTTTCACGGATGCCTTTGCCATAGGGTGGGGGGCCACGTAAAAGGGGATGCAGTCTCGGGTCTGTGGACGGGGCCCCAGCTGCATTGGCATATCAACTGCCTGGAGTTGCAAGCAGTACGCTTGGCTTTGTGCCGCCTCAAGGGGTTTCTCAAGACAAGCACGTACTGGTCCGTACAGACAGCACTGCGACCTTTGCGTATATCAACCGCCAAGGTGGTCTACGCTCCCGCCGCATGTCGCGACTCGCCTCCCACCTCCTCTTGTGGAGTCAGAAGCATCTGAGGTCGCTTCGTGCCACTCATGTTCCAGGGGAGCCCAACCGTGTGGCAGAAGTGCTTTCACAGTTGCCTCCCCTGCCAGGAGAATGGCGACTCCACCCCCAGGTGGTTCAGCTGATCTGGAGTGTTTTCGGAGTCGCACAGGTAGACCTGTCTGCTTCTCCGGACACGACCCACTGCCGGTGGTTTTACTCCCTGTCCGAGGGGACCCTCGGCACAGACGCCCTGCCCCACAGCTGGCCCCGGGAGCTTCGCAAGTATGCGTTTCCCCCAGTGAGCCTTCTTGCACAGACACTGTGCAAGGTCAGGGAGGACGAGGAGCAGATCCTGTTAGTGGCGCTGTATTGGCCCACCAGGACTTGGTTCACGGAACTCATGCTCCTTCGCGACAGCCCCTTCTTGGCCGATTCCTCTGAGGAAGGACCTTCTTTCTGAGAGACGGGGCAATCTATGGCACCGTCCAGACCTCTGGGAACTCCATGTCTGCGTGTTGTGTTGCTTTCGTCAACGAAAATTATGACTAAATTTTGTCATCAACGAACCTTTATCACGTGACGAAAACGAGACGAGACGCAACGTAAATGCTGCTCGTGTGACGATGACTATAACTAAATGTATAATACAATATCATTGACGAATAAAAACGAGACTAAAAGTGGTTTACAAAAATAAAAACTATGCTAAAATGTCTCTTAATTTTTGTTGACCAAAACGAGACGAGACGAAATGTTATTTAACGTTATTTCGTCTTGTACTTGCATTATTATTATGCAGCATTTCTGTTTCCTGTGTCACTTCAGGGGCTGCATCAGATTGCACTATGTAAACCTATACGACTTCAGATCCTCAAGCCCCACTTGTGGCATTATTTAGAAGAAGCAGCTCGCTGCATGAGTTAGAGCTGTTTCACACTCACACTCCGTGTGTAGAGTGTATGCGGTGCGTGTTGCAGTGTGTATGCAGGAGAAGTGCGCGTTATTGCTTTCACATGTGCTGCGTTTGCAGTGCGCAACTGATCTCCGGCTGTACCACAACCACAACATTTATTCTCAATTTTTTATTTCAAATCAGTATTTTAGCCCACATCCATTGTGTCACATTGTTGAGGTGTAGATCTCTGCTCTGCTGTTATGCACGCACGTGAAGCACCGCTCCTAATCTATTACTGTAACATGGGTGTGGGAAAAATACGCACTGCCAATGGAGTATGTGTGAAACAGGCGTTAGCATAAACGACAACACTCATTTTATGTTGTGTGTAGGCTACTTCTAACATGTTTGGTTGATAAATATGTTGTAAATTCAGTTTAGAGCGTCTTCCGTGTCTGGAATGGATGTATTCTTGAGTCTATAAGGTAACAATAATATAAGAAGATAAGATTGTTTGAAATGGGTTTGGCTAAAAGAAAAATTTGGTTTCGTCTATAGGCTAGCCTACTACTAGGTAGGCTAATATATTGACTGGGTTAATTAAGTTTTGCAGCAGTAAGCAAAGCTAGCGTTTATAACTAGACATTTATTAATAAAACGGAATCGGATCGGTACGCGGATAGAAGTACTCGCCGATACCGATTCCAGAATTTTCATTGGTTCCACACCTCTGGAGCAACTAGGGGGTAAAGTATCTTGCTCAGGGACACATTGGTGTCTCGCAGTGGATTCGAACCCAGGTCTCTCACACCAAAGGCATGTGTCTTATCCACTGCACCATCACCACCCCATTTTGTCTGGCGCTGTTGCCATGGTGACTCATAAAATCTGTGCCCCATTGATAATGGCTTTTTATAGTTGTGGTGCACACGCTTAACTCAGAGTCAATCAACTTTCAATTAAAAAGAGTTGATTGAACTAACTCATTTCAGCTGTTCTGTAACCGAAAACTCACGAGTTTCCCATCTCAGGATAAGTCAACTGAGAGTTCAAGTTTTAACTCAGAGTTGGTTGAACCTCCTTATTGAAATGGGCCCCTGATCAACTAAAACACATCTTAATACCAGGCATAAACATTGATGAGATTCGAGCTATAGATGAGTTTTTTTATTTTGAACTAGTTTTTATTTTTTTATCTTTCTTAGCCTATATCATTATGGGCTTTTGATATTTTTTATGTGTATCTATATATCTTTTTTATATTTCTGTTTTAATTTGAGTAATTTTAGTTCTCCAATTTAAACAGAAATTAACTGAACTAAATAATTTTATGGTTTTCATCTAATATTTATATTTATTTCAGCTCTATGTTAATTACCAAAAATAATTTTAACAGTTTTAGTTATCAATAACAAACCTGATCTAAAGGCTAGAATCAACATAGAAACAGCCTTGCAACCATAGCAGCATTCATTTAGAAAACCTTAGCAACTACATACCATGCTGAAAAACCAGTTTAAACTAGTCTGGAGGTGACCTGGCCCCCCTGGGACAAGTCAGGTCTGTTTGCTGGTTTTAGACTGTTTTTGAACACTTGACAGACTGGGACACCAGCTTAACATCACATAGGTATGACTGGAAGACCAGCTAGACCAACTTTAACCTGTTAAGGCCAGCAAAGCACCCTTAAGATTAATTATTTTTCAGCAGGGTAGCAGTGTCTTGGACCTCACCCACAACACGAAGCATCATTTTGTAAGTCTAGTTTTCTTTGTTCTCCATATTGTTGCATCTCCCACTCCCTAACTGTTGTGTACTGTGTGCCGCTCTTTTTCTGTCTTTTATTTTCTCTTCACAGTATGGCACAGTGTTTAACACGATGGCAGAGCAGATAGTTCCTGGAGCTTCATTTATCGTAAAAGGAATATTTTGAGCCAATTACCGTTGCTTTAGCTGCAGCACAAGGTGCCGGCAAAATTATGAAAGAGAAATGCATAAAGAGTAAAGGGGAAAAGAGACAGAAATATTAATGTGATCAAAGAGTGACAGGAAAGTACAGCTGCAGGTGGCAGTTATATTACACGTCATATTTTCACACATGATAGGCATACAAAACTGAATTATCCTGATGATATTTGAGTGGCATGGAACTAAATTGGTTGCCAGGTCTTACAAGGACTCTACTGATGTTTTGCAGGCAACGTGTGTGGCAGAAGATGACTGTCAGCACACAATGAGCAACAAAAACAAACTCAAAAGAAGAAAGGAATACCATAATGAGTCTCTCTGTTTCTGAACACATATGTGGCAAATGATGATGGTGTAGGATGAAAAGGTAAGATGAAAAGGAGAAAGAAAATGCATGACTCTAAAACAAGGATGTATATTCTTTATGCATGCTAACAAAAAAACTATATCTTAGAAAGGCAAGCAGATAAAACACCTTTAAATGAATGTTGATTCGGTTGTGTCTTTATGAGTAGCAAAACATGTTTGTACACGGATGTATATGGTGCAAAACATACATACAGTCATGGTCAAAATTGATGGCACCCCTGGTAAATATGATCAAAACTTTCACAAAAAAAATCACAAAATTCTCACCTTTCATCGAAGTAAAAGAATTGAAAGTGGGGGTAAATCACATTATGAAATAAATGTTTTTCTCCAAAACACGTTGGCCAACCTCCTTTTGCCAAGAAACCAGCTCTGAGTCTCCACCTATAATGCCTGATGAGTTTGGAGAACACCTGACAAGAGATCAGGGACCATTCCTCCATATAGAATCTCTCCAGATCCTTCAGATTCACAAGTTCATGTGCTTCTTCTCTTCAGTTCATTCCACTCATCAGGTCAGGGAACTGGGACGGTCATGGCAGATGCTTCATTTTGTGCTCAGTTACACATTTTTGTGTTGATTTTGATGTTTGTTTTGGACCGTTGTCCTGATGGAAGATTCAACCACGTCCCATTATAAGATTTCTAGCAGAAGGCGTCAGGTTTTGATTTTTTATCTGTTTGTATTTGACAGAATCCATAATATCATGTATCTGAACAAGATGTTCAGGACCTCCAGCAAATAAATAGGCCCACAACATATAAGATCTAGCAGTATATTTAACCGTAGGCATGGGGTACTCTTCATCCCTGTTTGCACCAAACACATCTGCTGGGTTTGCTGCCAAAAAGCCCTTTTTTCCCGTTTTATCTGACCATAGAATCCGGTCCCTTTTGAAGATTCAGTCATGTCTGACCACTGAATATGCTGAGTTTGTTTTTGGAGGAGCGAGGAGGATTTTTCTTGAAAACCTCTCAAACAACATGTGGTGATGTAGGGGTTTGATAATTTTTTTTTTTAGGTTTTCTGACCCCAAGACTCAACTAATCTCTGTGTAACATGACCCAAGGGGTAAATAATCAGGCGCAAGGCGGTTGTGCAGTTTCCATCAATAGGCACATTTTTATTCAAATAATTCAGCAGTTAAAGAAAATAAGTCCTTAAAAGCAAATACCCACAAAATAACAAATAAAAAAATAAGAAACAAAAACAACAACCCACAGATGGCCACAGGTTACCTATATCGTGAAGGCAGTAGTCCTGAAAAGTGCTCTCACCACAGCAAAACTCACAGCAATCACACTGCATCCCTAAAGGCAAAAATACAAATAAAGTGACCAACACCACACGATCCCAGCCACCTCACCACCGCCATCCATACAGTGAGGGTAACCACGCAGCCATCGTTGGAAAAAAAGAAATCTACAAAAAGGAAAGAAAAACAGATTAACCGTGGGTAATGCCAGTAGGACAAACAAGTCAGCAGCACCATTGAACCATCACACTTAGTTTATGGTCTGGGGTTTTCCCACTTGGTCCAACATAAGACAAAATAATAAATAAACCAAAGAAAATTCAATCTAAAGTAAACGGTAACCGTGCATCCCTCAAACATCCGATATTTCTGACTGGCACTCAGGCAACAATCAGTCAGGCAATAATCCGGCAAAAACACTCCTAAATGGTGTGCAACAAGTACTCAGCTCTCCATGACGTTAACATAGCTGCTTATCTGCTACTATCCTTCTGAAGGGCTCAATCTGTCGTGACATGCACACAACTCAATCGCTGCAAAAAGAAATAAGAGCCAACTAATCTCTCTACTTACTAACCTTTGAAGCTTTAAGTGTGCCGCCTCCACAACACACACGACATCCACAACACACGATCACGGAAAGGAAGTGAGAGGACAAACAAACCTCAGTACTTCCTTATATAGCGCTGGGGCTGATGGGACTTGTAGTTCCCCAACCTTGTCCCATTACAATCTACCCCCCAGATTAAAAAATCGACGTCCCGTCGATTACGTCAATACTACAACCAGGGGCGAAACATTACGTTCAAACCATTGCTGGACAGCCGCATCATAGGGAGAGCAACCTGGTCATTAATCTGGACTTTGGTAGTAGGGGCTGACCGAGGTAGACGATATGGGTTAGGATGACATCCAGCTGTTGTCCTCCTTGTACGCCTTACTACAGCTTCCTCCTGTTGTTGAGGCTGATGGTTCTCTGCATGATTTACTGAAGTGCAGAAGTTGGTATTTTCTTCCTGTAAAGGTGGAGACGTATTAACTTGGTCCTGGGCAGATACATCCTCAGGGATTAGAGACAAAACTACCATGCCTTCGTCTCTTAAAGTGTCCTGATGGTCAAATAGATCTAGAAGTCCAGGATCGTTTGAGGGAGTATAAGCAGGACGCAACTCACAACGATGAATGTGTCTAATATTACCACCTCCATCTGCCGGGGCAATAGCATACACAGCTCCCTGTCCGTCGGGACACCGGACCACTTTATAGGGGGTTGGATCCCAGGCATCCTGGATCTTATTCCTGCCTTTTATGTTATGGGCTCTCTGATACACAACTTGACCTTCCCTTAATTGTCCATGACGCACCTTAAGGTCGTTTGATCGGGCACGGTGTTCTGTGGCACATTGAAGGCGGGCTCGGGCCTTACTAAATATTTGTTCCAAATTATCTCTATGGTCCACCACCCAGCCTACTTCACTCTGGACATAGTTATCTAATCCCAACAGAAAGTCAACAGGTAAATGGGGCTCCTGTCCAAACATCAGGACATAAGGGGAATATCCAGTAGACTGGTGACCTGTGGTATTGTAAGCATATACCACCTGAGCAAGATGGTCTGGCCAATGACATTTTTTCTCCGGAGGCAAAGTACGCAGCAAATCATGCATGGTTCTGTTAAAACGTTCGCATTGACCGTTCCCTTGCGGTCGGTAGGGCGTGGTACGAGATTTTGAAATCCCATACAGCCGGCATAATTCTTGGATCAGCCTACTTTCAAAACACCGACCTTGATCCGAATGAATTTGTCGTGGGACCCCGAATAGGTAGAACCAACGTTCCACTAAAACACGTGCCACTGTTGATGCCGTTTGGTCTCTAGTTGGGATGGCTTGTGTAAACTTTGAAAAAACATCAGTCATCACCAATACATTTTCAAGTCCATTTGATGCAGGTTCGAGCAGCGTGAAATCAATAGCCAGAATATCTAATGGCCTCTCTGCCATCAGGTGCCCCATAAAACTTCGTACTTTTGGTCGTACTACCTTGGCCAGGGTGCAGCGCTGACATTTCTTACACCATTCCTCAATGAATTTGAACATACCAGGCCAGTAACATCGAGATCTCACTAAACTTGCTGTCCGCTCGATTCCTTGGTGACCATGGTCATCATGCAAACCAATAAGGACTCTTTCCCTGAGAACAGCTGGTAACACAACCTGACGAATTTCACGATGTTCCTCTTGGGGACAGAACCTCCGATACAGTATGCCCTCGATCTTGACCAACTTCTCCCACTGTCTCACCAATTCCAGCACTTCTGGTGGTTCTGATCCCTTCTCCTGTGCATCTGGTGGCCTTTGACGATCCCAATAGACAAGGAATTGCCCAATAATGGGGTCAGTTGCTTGCAGAACGCTAAGATTTTCTCTAGGCTGTTCGGGGAGGGCAGAAATTGATTCGCTTACGACTACGCGTTGACCGTCATGAACATGCTGATGCAGTTCCTTTGGAAAAACAGTAGTCATAGCCAATGCAGCTACAGATGCAACATTCTTCCGAGACAAGGCATCAGCATTAACATGAGAACGTCCAGGCTTATACCTAATCTCTAAATCGAAGTCTGCAAGCTGGTTAGCCCATCGTTGTTCCAACGCTCCCAATTTCGCTGTCTGCAAATGACTGAGTGGATTATTGTCTGTAAACACCAGGCATTTCTGACCCAGCAAATACTCTCGGAATTTTTCGGAAACGGCCCATTTAAGAGCCAAAAACTCCAACTTCATTGAACTGTAATTCTGCATGTTGCGTTCAGATGGTCGCAGACCTCGACTTGCAAACGCGACTGGTCGGCATTTGCCTCCATGTTCTTGAGATAAGACTGCGCCCAGACCTTGATGGCTTGCATCAACATCCAAGATGAAGGGCTTACTGAAATCAGCATAGGCAAGGACTGGAGCATTTATTAGAGCCGTTTTAAGCGTCTGAAAAGCATTTTCACATGGGTCGGTCCAACTGGTCTCCAGATTAATCTTTGGTCGTTTACTTTTCTGTCCCCTAATCATTTCTGCCACCAATGTGTTCAAAGGTCCCGCAATATGTGAAAAGTTTTTAACAAACCGCCGATAATAACTAGCGAAGCCAAGGAAGGATCGAAGTTCTTGAAGGCTTTGCGGACGATTCCATTTAGCTACAGCTGAGATCTTTTCTGGGTCTGTACTGACCCCTGTAGAAGAGACCACATGCCCCAAATAACGTACCTCTGGCTGAAAGAAGCAGCATTTACTGAGTTTTATCTTCAGGTTCTGTTGTCTCAGACGATCCAACACCAGCTCAAGTCGCTGAAGATGTTGCTCAATGGTGGTTGAGAAGACAATCACGTCATCCAAATAGAGCAATAAAGACTGAAAACTTTGATCCCCAAAAATTCGCTCCATTAACCTTTGAAATGTGCTTGGGGCATTGCACAACCCAAAAGGCATCCTATTAAATTCAAAGAGCCCAAATGGGGTGCAGAAGGCAGTTTTAGCACGGTCGTTGTCAGCTACTGGCACCTGGTTATATCCACTAGCCAGGTCTAAAGTCGAAAACCACTTTGCTCCAGTCAAGGCATCCAGTGACTCCTCTATCCTTGGTAGGGGATAGGCATCCTTGCGAGTTCTGACATTGAGTTGGCGATAGTCGACACACATCCTCAGAGAGCCATCCTTCTTCTGCACCAATACAATTGGTGAGGCATATGGGCTACAACTCTCCCTAATGACTTGACTGTCCAACAATTGTCTTATGTGTGCCTTCACTGCCTCAAACTGACTAGGAGGAATTCTACGATATCGCTGGCGCACCGGTGTTTCATCAATTAAAGGAATCTGATGTTCTATTAAATTTGTGCACCCCAGGTCACCATCATGCTTGGCAAAAACGTCAGAGTATCTTGTTAGCAATCTCACCACTTCCTCTTTCTCAGCCTCTGTAAGCCCAGGCAATTCTAAACCTTGGACCTCAATGTTTGACACTGATGTAATAGCTTGACACTGAACAGTCACAGTATTAGGGTCACATGGTAGATCTTCCTTGAACACAATGTCTTGATCTGATCTTATGACCACCTCAGCCCCAACCAAACTACCCAGTCTAATTCTTGGTGGCAAATATAAAGGTTCTGTACCAACATTAACTACCGGTACATGCACTACCCCTTGTCTACATTGCAATAAGGAAGGTGATATTAACACTCCAGCAGGCAGTCCCCCCTCACTGAAATCCTGGGGTTCTAAAAAACACACTGTACAACTTTTAATGTTCTTAGGGCACAATGCTGGTACTAACCTCATGGTGCCAGCTGGAATCTGCACAGGATGGCACGACTGCACTTTCACATAACCAATGAATCCAGGAAATGGGGAACCATCTGCCCGGTGACACTGTGAAAAGGCGTCTCTCCATCCTAACTCAGCCTGCCTGACCTGTGGAGCTGAAAATAGTGCTGGGCCATGCTTTTCAAACAGGTCATTATAACACTGTCCAATCACATTCATACCTAAAAGGCCAGGAGTCAGTTCTTTCCTCTGATGGAAAAAAGTATCGATGGGATCTTTAACAACCAAAATACCCTGCTCCAAAAGGGTTTGCCCCAACACAGTCACATCTGTTTCAAAATATCCCACATATGGAATCTCAAGACCATTAGCTGCTTTTAATTGAAGCCAACTACATTCTTTAAGTGCATCTACTCCTTGTCGGAAATGCTTCTCAAAAAATGACTGGGTTATCGTGGTCACCATTGACCCTGTATCTAGTAGACATGAAATCTCTACCCCCCCTATCTGGACATTTACAACAGGGCATCTGCCCACAAGACGCTGTAAGATGGTAGGGCAACAAGGTGATGGTGAAGTTTCACTATCTCCTATAACCTGGCTCAAGACTGCAGGTGCTACACTGTCAGGCTCCCCCACAGATGTCTCATTTACATTCACCTGAGGGGATCTAGGGTTTGACTCTATGGGCCATGGTTGTCGACAATATCTGGCTATATGCCCAACTCTATTACAGCGAAGGCACCGTCGTGAGTTATTTTGCCGAGTTGCATTAACAAAAGGTTCATTCTTTTGAGACATAAGGCTATCAAGACGCTGGGTCAGTTCAGTGATTTGGGTTTGTTGCTGTCTCAGCATGTCTTTAATCTCTTTTAACTCTATAGACTCATGAAATCTAACCTTAGGTTCAAGCTCAACTACCCGGCCTTGAGTAACGTTACACCATGGCTGAACATATGAGGCTGCTGCTTCCTTATTCCCCTCTTCCACCCACCTAAGAGCTTCACTTCGAACCTCTAGCAGAGTAGAAGTTGGCTTCTCCCTTACCAATCGCTTTAATTCGCGCTTCAGCGTCACATCTCGAACATGTTCAACAAACTGATCACGAAGCACTCTATCAGAATTTGGAACACTGCCTGGGTTGCTATTGAGAATCAAGTCCATCAAGGACATTAAAGCATGAGAAAATTCAGTAAAAGATTCACCTTCTTTTTGTTTACGTTCATAAAACCTTTGTTGTAATTGCACAAATGTCTGTCTCCCCCCATACAAGTCTCTCAAAATATCAAAAACAGACTTCGGAGATTCTCTAGTAGCTGGTGGGCGGAGTTTTATCTCCATTCTGGCTTCCCCCCCCAGATGGTCAAGCAAAAACACCACCTTTTCTTTATCAGACCAACCCCTGCCCTCAATACACACCTCAGCCTCCTCAATCCAGTCTTCAATACTCAGAGTAGAGTCCATGTTCCCATAAAAACGTGGGCACTTCCGCTCCCGGGGGACATAAAGTACCCTACTAAAAGACGAAGGAGATGAAGCATTGGGATTAGCCACAGAAGAATGCGGTTGGTTAGAAGCATTGCTACTGGCCGGGGGGCGCTCTCTCGTCAGCTGCTCATTTTGTGCCTGCAGAGTCCGTATCTGCTCCCGCAAGTCTATTATTTCCTGTTCCATGTCTGTTGATGAATGGAGAAAGTTCAAAACGAAGAAAGGTGAAAATGGTCCCACGAAGACTGCGATGCTCGTCTTCACACACGATTACCGTTTACTTGAATGATATATGTAAAAAACAAGAAAAAAACCACAAATATGCCAGAAAACACAACCACCTTCGCCAAACAAAAGTACCCTGCCGACTACGCCAATTGTAACATGACCCAAGCGGTAAATAATCAGGCGCAAGGCGGTTGTGCAGTTTCCATCAATAGGCACATTTTTATTCAAATAATTCAGCAGTTAAAGAAAATAAGTCCTTAAAAGCAAATACCCACAAAATAACAAATAAAAAAATAAGAAACAAAAACAAAAACCCACAGATGGCCACAGGTTACCTATATCGTGAAGGCAGTAGTCCTGAAAAGTGCTCTCACCACAGCAAAACTCACAGCAATCACACTGCATCCCTAAAGGCAAAAATACAAATAAAGTGACCAACACCACACGATCCCAGCCACCTCACCACCGCCATCCATACAGTGAGGGTAACCACGCAGCCATCGTTGGAAAAAAAGAAATCTACAAGAAGGAAAGAAAAACAGATTAACCGTGGGTAATGCCAGTAGGACAAACAAGTCAGCAGCACCATTGAACCATCACACTTAGTTTATGGTCTGGGGTTTTCCCACTTGGTCCAACATAAGACAAAATAATAAATAAACCAAAGAAAATTCAATCTAAAGTAAACGGTAACCGTGCATCCCTCAAACATCCGATATTTCTGACTGGCACTCAGGCAACAATCAGTCAGGCAATAATCCGGCAAAAACACTCCTAAATGGTGTGCAACAAGTACTCAGCTCTCCATGACGTTAACATAGCTGCTTATCTGCTACTATCCTTCTGAAGGGCTCAATCTGTCGTGACATGCACACAACTCAATCGCTGCAAAAAGAAATAAGAGACAACTAATCTCTCTACTTACTAACCTTTGAAGCTTTAAGTGTGCCGCCTCCACAACACACACGACATCCACAACACACGATCACGGAAAGGAAGTGAGAGGACAAACAAACCTCAGTACTTCCTTATATAGCGCTGGGGCTGATGGGACTTGTAGTTCCCCAACCTTGTCCCATTACATCTGCAATTCTTCATCTGTGATCCTTGAAGAGTCTTTGGCCACTCAAACTTTCATCCTCACCGTCCATTAATACAATATAGACACACGTCCTCTTCCTGGCAGAATCGTAACATCTTTAGTTGATTATAACTTCTTAATTATTGCCCTGATGGTCAAAATGGGAATTTTCAATTCTTTAGATATTTTCTTACAGCCACTTTGTATTTTGTGAAGCTCAACAATTTTTTGCTGCACATCAGAACTATATTCTTTGGTTTTACTCATTGTGATGGATGATTAAGGGAATTTGGCCTTTGTGTTTCCTCATATCTCCTGTGAAACAAGAAGTCATAGCTGGACAGTTTCATGTTCCTAGTCACCCTGGTGTGCTTAAAAAAATAAATATTAATGGGAATCTACTTCAGAGATATTTTTCTCTTAAAAAATTCTAGGGGTGCCAACAATTATGGCCAGTGTGTTTTGGAGAAAAACATCTATTTCATAATGTGATTTACCTCCACTTTCAATTCTTTTACTTCAATGAAAGGTTAGAATTTTGCCATTTTTTTAATGGAAGATCAAAAGGATAAACAATGCAGATTTATTTTTTTACAGACAGTTTTTATCATACATTTACCAGGGGTGCCATCAATTTTGACCATGACTGTATTTTGGTTCAACTTGTAGCCTTAAGAATTGGTGTAAAACTAGGAATAAGTCTCTGTCAAATACTTCCAAAAGAGTCAGGTGCTCTGTAAATCCAACGAGTGATGCACAAGAAAAAAAACTGTCTGTTACTATGGTAGACAGGAAAGATAAATCAAGACAAATTATACCTTCAGATGAAAAATATTTGCTCCTCTTTTGTACCCCTTGATACAACTATAAAAAGCTCAGAAAGAGGTCGGCTAGTTGTACAAGCTCAAATATCCTCAAACATCAAAAGCACTTATACAAGTGTTTCAAAAGAGTGTTATTTTGTGGGCTTGAATGTGCACAATATGATTGTTTTTTATGTTTGTGGTCCCAATGACACCAAATATTTGTTTAAATAGTCAATTGAATATTATCGAATCTGTTACCTAACGTAACCTCGGTTCTCACTAGATGAGGGAACGAGTATTGCGTAACCGGCAGTGCTCGCGCCACATGCGATTTTCGCTTCATTCAATGAAAACCATGGATTACAGCCAACGAACCTCACTTATATACACTCTAGCCACGCCCATTCTGGCAGGCTATGATGCAATGACGGCGCGAGCGCCTCTCATTGGACGGAAGTTCACTCAAGTTCATCTATAGGCTGCAGCATTTTGCCGCAGAGCAACCAATGAGCTCGCTAGCTAGCCTGCTCTAGGTCTGCAGCTGCTGCACTGCTTTGACAATGGATACAAAATTAAGGATAATTTTTTGGCTTCAATATCTCAGAAAAGATTAATCTTTCCGCATTAGAACATGACATCATGACTTTTGCGTAAACATATACGCCACTTTCGAGTCAGGTGGCGTGTTATCTCCACACATTTTGTGCTATCCGCGTGTATGCGTATATGTCTACGCCATTAACGTCCGCGTCATTCCGCGTGTCTGAACACGCTGTCAAATCTCCATTCATAAATGCCATTAACCCCAGTGACGGTTAAGTTTAGGGATGGGGTTGAGGTAAGTCATATCTTTTTTTTACCTAGGATGGTAAGGGAACAGTCATAAATGCCATCCCAGATAGCAAACTGACATTGAATCAACGTGGAAACGACGTCTCTCATGACATTGAAACAACGTTGATTTTGCTCATCAAATTAACGTTGAACCAACGTCAGACGCGGCATTCTTCAAAGCTAAATGAAAATCGAAAATTGGTTTGCTTTCATAACGTTGAAACAACGCGTTGATTTCAAGTTGATTTTCCGTTAGTTTTGAAAGAATGACGCGTCTGACGTTGGTTCAACGTTAATTCGATGAGCAAAACAATGTCAGATCAACGTTGTTTCGATGTCATATTTCCACGTTGATTCAATGTCAGTTTGCTATCTGGGATTAACCCCAGTGACGGTTAGGTTAGGTTTAGGGACGGGGTTGAGGTAAGTCATATATTTATATAACGTTAAGTCAACGGCGTTCATAAACACGCTGAAAGGCGATTATGCGTCTTGATAGCACGCCAAAAATGGAAATACGAAATTGGCGTGTCATACACACGCTACTTCATGAGATCAGTCTGTGCATTAAAAAAACAACTTCATCATCTTCTACACATGTGTGCCATGGTGACCCAAGTGCCATGGTGACCATGCTCCAAATACTCACAACACAACCAAATACAGAAATGCGCTGCAAAAATGTTGTCATGCTATGTTGAAATAAGTTTCATAATAATGTTAGGTAATGCAGGGTCCAAAGATGAGAAGGAACGTTTTTAAGTTGAGACACTCGAACACAT